TCCCGCTCGATTGCTTACAATTACATTGACTCTTTTTATGATTTTTGGAGCAGATCATCAGTTCATTCGGTTTGGAAATACAAACTGACTTAGGGGTAAATATCATAGACCAGAGGGTTTGGATTTTCAAAGTAATAAAAATTGAATTTATACATATAGAAAATTAGTGCAAAATGATTTTCATTCACCGAACCATGTTGACTAGGAAGTATATTACCATTCACGTGTTCAAGGCCATCAACCTATCTTTGTTTTTAGGAGTTACTCATTGCATCAGTTTTTGCGTCTTCATTTCTGCCGAAAGAGTATAATTAAATTATTACACTTGAAAGCCAATGATTGCATGCATATTAGATATTAGATATTAAAGCTAATCATGTAGATAATATGTTAGAGATGTTATAAAACTAAAGATAAACACATGCAGAAAATTTGGGATACCAAAATTGTTTAAAATTATAAACGAGAGTTTAATTGTGCACCTAATGATGCACCTAATGGAGCCATGATAATAGACATAAAACACCTTTAGGGATTTGCTTAATCTTCCTCTTCTTGCACCACACATATAACAGCTTTCCATGGGTAGAAATTGAATAATTGATAGAGCCTATTGCGTTTGAACCTACACTAACCGTCTCCACATTATCTCAACTAGATGTTCCAAGTCCATACAAAATGATCACAATAATTGGACTCCTCATATATTTTTAATTATCTTTGAACTAGTACAAGTCAACTTATTTTATTAAATCAAAATCACTAATTAATGGAAGCTCACACATAAAAAATTTTCTAACAAGAGAAACAATTAATTGTGCAAACTGGACTGTGGATGTTATATAACTCTAACTTATATATTTGTTCTAACAAAGGATTGAAATTTAATGCTTTGCAGATAAACACAAAACATAGAAGTTATATAGTCCTCCATTATATCGACCTTTAATTTCAGCAGGAAAAGAAGCAGCTTAATGTAAGACGAAAGGATGGAGCATGAACTTATCACCACCTTTTGCATGCTCATCATCATTAAGTTATTAATTAGGGAATGCTAGGTTGAATCCAACAGCTGAATAATTGCATTTTGGTGTTGTAGAAGTCTTCCAGAATATCTTGGGCACCATGACAATGAAATTTTCTTGAGTCTAGAGAATAATAGACAAGACGATCGCTGTAAAATCTTGGGAAATAAACTTTGTTCTCCATTCCTGATATTGAAGGTGTAGCAAAAGATGAGAAACAGCTGAGATAAAGCGATCGGTTTCCTAAATTTTCAACTTCAACCCAAACCATCTCGGAGAAATCCAATCTGAAAATTCGAACCCATTTTCCTAAGGAACCCACAAACACAGAAAGAAGCTTCCCATCACATTCTAATAGAAAGTTTTGACGAAAGGAGTCACAAGGACATTCAGGCCTCTCAAGTAACTGACAAAATATTTCTTCATCTAATTTTCTGACAACTGCTAAGTTTCCCTTTGTACCAAGAAAGTAGAATGCCCCATCATAAAATGTTGGATTGTTGTGATTAGTCACTCTGAATTCCTTAAAGGTGAATGCTGCAACGATATTACGATGTCTGGTCCCTTTCCCATCATTGTCTAAGGAGAAGAAGTCAATACAATGACGGTAAAGGTCATTCGAAAGTAAAATTGCAATGACACAATCCGAAGAGACAGGTGAACATGAGAAACCGCAGCCAGAAACCTCTTCACATTTAGCAGGTGCCAAGTTTGGTAGAAGAATAGTTTTCTTAGCAAAGGGATTCCAAAGGAATATGGAATCTTTACCTCGTAACATCACACACCAACCTTCCTTTGAATAGCACATTGTGACATCTTTGGATTGGTTGTTAGGGATGTGGATGAGATATTTTCCCCCATGCACACGCAGTGGATCAATGAAATTGCAAACATCATCACCTTTTTGCCAATAGGTTAGCCAAGGGGGGAGAAGGCAAGAATTATAGCCTTGATGAAACCCCTGCAAAGATGAACTTGGAGGGGCTGCCAATCTACACAATTTGTTAGCAGCCCGAAAGCTCATGTAGTCACCTAACACTAGGCATCTTCCAATCCTATCTAGCGTGTCTAAAGGAAGCTTAGCAAATTGGCCTACCTCCTCGCTCACAATTTCACTAATAATTTCATCAGGCTTTATTATCTCCTTGCTCTCATCGTCCACGTCTCTGGTTTGATCTTGGACATCATCAATAGCAGTAGTAGTAGGAGAAGTCCTCTTGATTGCAAAGAAGAATGATTCCCATGCTAGTGGTAGATTTGGACAAGGTAAAGAAACCGAAACGGTCTTGTCTTGCATGTTGAATGAGTACAAACTTTTATCCCCTAGAAACTGGAAATTGATATGATTGGGTTCAACCCCCGATCCAATTAGCGCAGGGCAAGAAAAGGAAGAAAATGCAGAAACAAAGAACGCTATGTCCTCCAAACTTTCTACCTTATTCCATCCATTGGCCGGGACATCCAGTCTTGAAACTTGCACAGAAATTACTTCTTCCCAAGGTATTGTCACTGATATCAATGACAAATGAATCGCAAAGAGTTCACCACCGGATTCGAACAAGTATCCATTAACCTTAACTGAATCTTGCATGTATTTTGGCCGCGGCATGTCTAACCATCTTGAGGCAAAACCTAGCCCTTCGCTGTGTAAATCAACTTCTATTAGTTTGAATCTATTAAATTGAGAATACAGTCTTCCATTACAGTTAACAGGATTTCGCAGATAATTGTCTGCATCTACTTTATGGTTGACTGTGATGAACCGCTGAGTCCAATGTAGACAACGTTGATCTCCTCCAACTCCAAGCTTACAAAAGAATAGGGAAGGGACATTTTGTTCAACTAGTATAACCGTACTCTCGTGATTGTGATTACTTGTAAGAGGAGACGTTAATACAGCCCCTCTGATTTCCTCTTTGGTGTGCAAAGTGTTCCTCAATGCGAGAGGAGGTAAGTGTATGAACTCCAAAGTCAAAGGATTCCAAAGTGAGTAGCGCTCCTTTTGATCCGACAATATTAGCCAACCCTGATAGGAAGTAGATATTATGTCTCTGTTTTGATATCCATAAGGCACTTTCCTAACGATAGATATTCCATCGGCGATCAAGCACAAAGTCATCTTCTCGTAATCTTCTTCGTGAACGGATACCAACCAAGGGGTCAGTACCGGCGACGCAAAATCAAGTTTCCTAGGGCGCGCCTCTTCTTCCATGTTTTAGCCGGACGAAGGCAGGGGAAGAAATCAAGAGATTACAATGACTGATGATTAGTTTGAGTAAATGAGCGTGTGTTTTCGAATATATATCAAGTAGGTAATTTACCCAAGTTACGGACTCCCAGTCAC